GAGAAACTGGCTGCTATCTAAGTGGGAAAGATGGGGCTTTCAGGGGAGTTCATATTATAGAGACACGTGCTCAGCCCTGAAGGCTTGAGTTCGAGTCCTTGACCCAATAAGGTGGCAAGAGAGTACCAAGTCCTTAGAGTTGTTCTCTGACCTGTAGGTATTTGTCCGTATGTACACGTGCATATGAAATAAAACAAAATATTAAAGATATAAAGGGCCAATGAAGAAACAAGGGAACATTTGCATACAGTTCATGGAAAAATCAAACAGTTGTTATGGAAACCAATGCAGAGGTTTCTCAAGATGTCAAAGCTATAATCACCAGTCCAGTCCCACTCCAGTGCACACATTCAAACCAAATGCAACCCACGTGCTGCAGAGCTATTTCCCACTTGGAATAAAATTGAACTCTTTCTACCAGCCAGGGAAGAGGAACACATCAATATCCATCAGGTGCTAATTTCATAGAGAAAAAGGTAATACATACATATATAATTGACAACTTTTCAGCCACAAACAAGAAAGCCTAGAAGAGAAGATTTTGAATGATTTTTATTGCAATTAAGTGAAAAGGTCTGAGCTGATCTACCAGGTATGTTTAAACTGGCTGCAGACTATGCACACACGCTGTAGCATCTCCCAGTATTCCATCACTATGTACATCTTTTATGGACAAATTAAAAACGATGTATTAAATTATCAGAGAATTAGTTTTTAAAATGGAGGGGGAACTATATTTCTGAGAAAAAATAACATCTTTTCTCTCAAACCATTAGTAAAACTGCATCAGCTCTCCATTACAAAACACAACATAAAACTACTGAAAGGAAAAAAAAATGACAGGAGAGATATTTATTATATGTAAAACTAGCAGAGTTAATAAGTAAGGAAAGCAATTATATAAGGTAAATGTTGAGGAAGGGTGGAGTCGGACAAAGAAGGGCCAAGGAGCACATGAAAAGATCATTATCCTCACCAGAATAATGGAAATGCAAATTGGGACAACAATGGCCCAGCATTCCACACTAAAGGATTTGGCAGGCATTACAGAATCTGTCAGTACCAACTGTTGGCAAAGCCCTGAGAAAGCTGGACCCCCAGCCCTGCTAGTGGGAGTGTGGATGAGCACAGTCTCACAGGACAACAAGTTGGCTGGGGGTGGTGAAATTTAGAAGGTGCCTATCCCATGACCTGCAATTGTACTCTAGAAAATCCTGTGTGTTGGAACTGAATGCTCACACTAGCACTGTCTTCAATGGAGATAAAATGGAAACAAATTTTATGCCTTCAGAGGGGAATGAGAAAATAAATTATTATATATTCATTTAATTTATTACACTAGAAAAAATTAAAACATCAATTAGCTACAGGTAAATCTCAAAAACATAATGTTGAGTTTTAAAGGAAAAACTTACTTTTTAGATTTATTTCTTTTATTTTTGAGATGAAAGTATAATTACATCATTTTCCCCTTCCCTTTCCTCCCACCAAAGCCTCACCTATATACCTCCTTGCTCTTTTACAAATTCATGGTCTCTATTCTCATTAGTTGCTGATGTGGGAGTGTCATATATCAATCTGTTGATTTCATTGGTTAAGCAATAAAGAAACTGCTTGGCCTCATAGGTTAAAACATAGGTGGGAGGAGTAAACAGAACAGAATGCTGGGAGTAAGAGGAAGTGAGCTCAGACTCGACAGCTCTCCTCTCAGGGCAGCCGCCTTAGAGAGACGCCATGCTCCCCTCTCCTGGGCAGACTCAGGAATAGCTCTGCTCTGTGAGGCACACACGATGAAGGTCCAACCCAGGATGGACATAGGCTAGAATCTCCCTGGTAAGCCCACCTCGTGGGCTACACAGATAATTAGAAATGGGCTAGTCCAGGTGCGAGAATTAGTCTAGAAAAGGCTAGATAGAAATGGGCCAAGCAGTGTTTAAATGAATACAGTTTGTGTGTTGTTATTTCGGGCATAAGCTAGCAGGTGACTGGGGTGCTGGGGACGCAGCCCCGCTGCTCCCACTACAACAAGTTGCCATTACATAGACTTTTATGGATATGAATATACACATATATATGCATATATATATAAACTGAGCAGGTTATATTAAAAATATGTACATATATATGTTACTTGTATGTATGTTTCCATCACTGATCATTTGGCATTGTACTATCAATTGGTGTGACATTCCTCCAGGAAAGACTATTTCTCCTGTTCTCAGAATTTCTTGGTTGAGTGTAGTTCATTTGTGTTGTACAGGGTTGAGACCTGTCCATACCAAGCACTTCAGATGCAGGGCCTGAAGGCCTTTGATCTGGAGCTGACATCAATGCCTCTCCCTTGAGGACAACCTTTCATGGTTCTAGAAGGAAATATGCAAAATTCCGAAGGAAGCAGCCAAGAGTCCTGCTTATAAACCACATCAATCAACAGCATGGCATGATAAGCTTCAGGTGCAGTACTGCCATTCAGGCCTTAACTGTAACCAACAGCTCTCTAATGGGACTTAAAATCCTCTCAAATAAGAAAAGCCATGCCTTGTGCTGGAGAGAAATTTACATAACAATACACAGTAAACAATTAGTATATAAAAGTATTTTTAAAAATCCCTGAAACTATAATGTTATTATGGTGACATCTAATAATAAATCTAGAGTGTGGGAGTCTCAAATCGTTGCTGTTAGTTGCTTCTGAGAAAGGGAGAACAGTAGAAGTAGAAAGATTTCATCATTGTTCACAATGATCAATGTCTTTAAATAAATAAGCAAATAGTGTTATAAATTAATTTCAAACTGTGTAGTTATCAGAAGGCTCTAACATGAAAATCTGACTCTACTAGAATTTAAGTAGTAGAAAGAAAAACTTCCCTGATTTTTGCTCGTTTGTCTTTTTTCTTTCTCTTCTCAGATTACAGAAGTTATTAATCATTGTTGGTTCTACTGTTAAAGAGAGAATGAGAAACACAGAGGTGAATCAAATATTAGCTATTGCCAGGGACATCAAAATTTACCATCAGGATAGTAATTGTAGGGCATCATGTAAGTGAAGACTGCATAAAATTATGTACAAAAACACAAACACACACACAGAAAGAGAGAGAGAAAAAGAGAAAGGGGAGGAAGAGGGGAGAGGGAGGAAGAAAGGGAGAGAGAAAGAAACTGTGAATTATTACAACAATTATTTGCCAAACCTCTAGGATTACAACCTCCAAGAGCAGAGATCAATCACCTATTTACCATGTTCCATCAATCCTCGACCTTTGCATATCTATTTGACTTTAAGCCAGCACTATTCAAAGAAAAGAGAGGCTTTAAATAACCCTACTTGGCTGTCTTCAGTGGTTTACCTAAATATTCTCCAAATTTGCATTTATTTCTTCATTCAACAAATATTTAAAACTGTATCATGAGGTCTTCTATAAATGCTAGGTAACTTTCTCTTATTCTTCAAAAGTATTTTATGTGGTCAGTATTCTAGCTCCATTTTGTTGATAAGAAACTACAATGCAGAAGTTGAAGTATTTTATCCAAGGGTTCTAATTTGTTTTATCTGAAATTCAAACTCAGATTTGAATGCTCTCAATGTTCATCTCTTTTCATAGTCAGGACATGTGGGAATACAGTTGCTGAATCAGCTGCCCCAAATACTCTCATTCACAGACTCATCCCAGACACACTGGAGAGAGTGAAAGATAAACAACATGTGTCTGTTGTAGAAGATCGTGGGATTCAGCATCAGCTTTACCTCATCCTCATCAGAGATATAAGAACTAGTGGGAAGTTATAATTAAGCTGTTCCACAATCCTCCCAGGCCGAATAAGTCTGCTGCCTTTCATCTCTGCACATAAGTCTTCTATTCTAGGCTTTTGCAGTCCCTACCAGATTTCCATATCCTTTCTGTATCTGGGTGCCAAGAACTGATCATAGCCCTGCAGCGAAGGAAAGGCCAGCATTGTCTCATTCCAGCCAGAAGTCCTCATGTGTGGTGTAAGAGGATCCCCTTCTTGGTCCAGCCAGGAGGTCTCAGTGCAATTAATGTTGCTTGCAAGTCGTAAGAAGTCACACCTAAAACCTCAGTGTTGACGGCCAAGCACTGATGTGTTTTGCAGACATATTGGATGATTTCTCTGCATGTGTCTACATGTAGGGTCTGTTGATCTCATCTGAATAAGGAAGTGGGATCTGTGGAAACACCAAGAGACAGAGTAGGTAACATGTCCTCCTAGTAGAGCAGGGGAGGAAAAAGAAAGAAAGCTCAGTTCTTGGATTGCTCCTGTCTACTAAAATTTTGAGTTTAAGAAGTGCACATTTTATTCATGAATTGACTACCACAGTGAAATAAAAAACAACCCACAATTCCCATAGGCTATACCAGATTTATTACAGGATAGCCTAGAGAAAAGTCAGCCACACTTTCTTGGGAGTATAGGAGGCACAGCAGAGAGTCAGCTCCAGAGTCAGTTTTATAAAAGGCAGCTACCATGGCTTCTTCTGTTAAGCCAACCTGTGTGGTGAGTGAAGAGAGAGACAAAGGATGGTGGAGATACTGTGGATATTTGTTGACAAAAGTTTCTGTCCCACCTGGTCCTGTAGCAGTTCAGTCCCAAAGAAACACACAGAAATCTACATTAATTATTAACTGCTTGGCCTATTAGCTCGGCTTCTAATTAACTCTTTTTTTCAGGTTTTGAAGTTGTTTTTAGTAAAAGAAAAAAGCAGGCTTTCTAAAGGAGACAAAGGTCAGAAGGAAGCTGGGTGTGGGATTATCATAAGCTCTTACTCTGAAGCTTGGAAATGAGATCCAAGCTCTCCCAGGAACTGACTGGATGCCAGAGACATTCCTTGTTGGGGTGGGCAGAGCTATCCTTGATCAATGGCATAGTCTACATGGGCTCTCAGGCAACCCATGTGCCTACAAACATGATTAACACTTACTCTTGGGGACATTAAATTAAGGAATGACATAGGAAGCTGAGATGGTGGTTTATTCGGTTGGATTCTAAATCACAATCAGGAAATGGTCTTTATCTGGTACAACCATAATTTCATTTCTCTTGGAGCAAATTCGAAGGAAAGTTAGGTCATTCTGGGGGTCAATTTCACACACAGTGCTCCGTGCCTTCAAGATGAAGTTGTGCATGAGGTTGGCATATTGTGTAGCAGTGGGATTGTCCATGGTGCTCCTGATGGGAATGCCTTCAGTGTTTACCACGATGATTCCCTGCACTCCTTTCTGGCTCTGAAGTCTCTTGAGTGTTTCCTCCACCTCTGCCATCTCAGACCGATCCAGCAGCTCTGAGTTGCTGATGCTCAGTGAGGTCCCTGCCCTTCTCTTCTTATTAACTCTTACATCTTAAATTAGCCCAAAATTCTTGTCTGTGTTAGGCACATGACTTGGTTCCTTTTATCAGTGAGGATTTCTCATCTTGCTTCCTCTGGATCTGGGTGATGACTGCAGATTGTGCCTTTCCTTTTCCCAGAATTCTCTTGTTCTTGTTGCCCCTTCTATACCTCCTGTCTGACTACTGGCCAATCAGCATTTTATTGAAGCAATACAACTGAGAAATCTTTACAGGGTACAAGACCATTGTGTCACAGCACTCTCCCCTTTTTTTCTAAAACAAGAACTCTGAATCTAATCTCCTTTGTTTAGCTTTTTTCCAGACCATTATCCATAACAACTTATAATCAACATTCTAAACAAAGACAAACATCCATAATCCTATGGGAGGTTGGGTGTAGTTTTCCAAGCTACTTCCTGCTGAGTGGGGGCACTGATAATCTTATGGGGACCTAAAAAAATTTGGAATTATGGTCAAGTCCTGACTGGAATATTCTGTGAGGCTGGACCATCACAGCCAGCAGTTTTGAATCTGTTCTGTATGTAGAACTCAGACATTTGGGCCATCTGCTCCTACTGATGGTTTTTCAGAGGGTCTTTCTTGATCAAAACCTGATTTTTCTTAACCACAGCCTCTCATTTCCTGTGGAAACAAAAACAAAACTTCTTCTCCAAAGTAACTTATCATTTGACTTAAATTTTGAAGTCAAGGCATTTTCAAAATATGTATGTTGTATTAATCTAGCAGCATTTATAATCAAAAGTCTTTTAGCAGCTGTTGATCCTTCCTCAGCCTTCAAACAATTCAAGGACAACACAATTACATACAATGTCCAGACTTTCTTTGTATTTTCCATCTTTTCATGGCTTTATTTTAATTTTTTTTCTTTTTAATCTTTGCTGGGTTTTGTCTTTTGGGTGTTGTTGTTGTTGTTGTTTTGACAGGGATTCTCTGAGTATCTTTAGCTATCCTGGAACTCACTCTGTATTCCAGGCTGTCCTCGAACTAAGAGATATCTGCCTATCTCTGCCTCCCAAGTGCTGGGATTAAAGGTGTGTGCAACCACACCCAACAACTATTCCTTTTTTTTAAAGACTTTATTCTTCTGCTTTTCTCTCCAAAGCCTACATATATATTTTGTCTGTTTAGAGATTTTCTTCATCTTTGAATCTATATTTACTATGTATCTCTTTTTCTGACCACATGAGTCTTTAATTTGCTAAGTGATACAGCTAGAATTAAAGCCAGCTATGGCTTTGACACCTGGATTCACCCAATTCTTTAGCTTTCTGAGAGTCTAGCTTCATGGCAGAGGTACTCGTGGAAGCCATGTTTATTGCCAGAACTCTATGGAGTTTCAAGCCATGTGCCACCATCAGGAAGCTTGCTGTCAGCTATTTATAAACACCATTTAAGTGTTTGATGGTGGATCCTCTTAAAATAGCTGCAAGGTTTTTGCAGCTAGAGCTGAGTCAGAAGGCCTCCCTTAAATGAGAAGCATTTGTCTCTAGCAAACAGAGCCCAACTGAGAAAATGCTGTTACCAAGAAGCTGTGCTTAATTCTGTTCTTTTGTGTCTAGAATTACTTCCCAAACTCTCTCAGGTTTTAAGTGGATTTCACTGACCACCTTGGTGCCATTTGTTGCCAGAGGTTTCCACAGAAAATGAGAGGCTGTGGATTCATTCTGTGTTAAGAAAAATCAGATTGGATCAAGAAAGACCACCTGAGAAATCTCCAGTAGAAGCAAATGGCTCAGATGTTTAAGTTCTACATACAGAACAGTTTCAAGACTGATGGCTGAGATGATCAAGTCTCACTGAATACTCCAATCAGGACTTGATCATAATTCAAACTTTTTTTAGGTCCCCATAAGGTTATCAGCATCCCCAGTCAGCAGGAAGTAGCTGGGAAAACTATACCTACATTCTCCCCAAAATAGGTTATGGATATTTGTCTTTGTTTAAAGTGTTGATTACAAGTTGTTATGGATAATGGTCTGGAAAAAGGTTAAACAAAGGAGATTAGATTCAGAGTTCTAGTTTTGAAAAAGAAGCAAAGGGTGGGGGGTGCTGTGATACAATGGTCTTGTAGCCTGTAAAGATTTGTTATTTGTATTTTAATAAAATCCTGATTGACCAGTAGTCAGGCAGGAAGTATAGGTGGGGCCAAGAATAGAAGAATTCTGCAGTCATCAACCAGACACAGAGGAAGGAAAATGAGAATGGCTCACCAATAAAAGGTGCCAAGCCATGTGGCTAACATAGACAAGAATAATGAACTAAATTAATATGTAAGAATTTCTTAATAAGAAACCTGAGCTAATAGGCTAACCAGTTTATAATGAATGTAGGCCTCCATGTGTTTCCTTGGGACTGAACAGCTTCAGGACCTGGTGGGACAGAAAGCTCTGTCAACAGATACTGGATAATGCTGGCAGTGGCTATGGAGTACATGATGTGTGTCAGGTCACATTTGTAGAACCAGCATGAAGGACAGAGTTTTGTGAGCATGCATTCAGAGATGTTTTAGATATAAGATCCTCAGAGATGCTGTGGTTCATGGGTTTCCAAACTTATTGGCCTTCCTAGAAACTTTTGAAAACACAAGTTATTGGATTTTACATTGTTCTTTTGAATCAGACTATACAATTCTGAGACCATGATACATATTTGGAGTTCTCTTGGGGCTATCATCCTTATGATAGAAGTGGGGGTGTTAAACATGAGGAGAAAGATTGAGTTGGCTACAGTAAGGGTTATGAGAAGCCAGAGAACCTGACTCTGAGTTCAGAACTCCTTGGTTGGAGTCGCTATTCTTTCTAAACACCCAATCTACATTTTCTACCCCCTCCTCTACTTCTAGATCAAGAAATAACCCCACCATCCAATCAGTCCTCAGATAAGACTCTGGGACACAATTATTACTATGTACAATATGCTCTACACTATATACTGTACACTATACTCTATACACTACATACTATATACTATAAACTATATACTGTACAGTATACACCTCACAAGATTTTTCAATTAATGTAGTTTGCATAGATCCCCTTTCTCTTTCTCGTTGTCAGTTCCATAGTTCAGCTGACACCACGGCACTGTTGGATTATTGGAAATAGGCAACGTATCATATCACTTCTCCCAAAAGCCTTCAGTAGCATTCAGATACTAGTTTTTATCATATTTACAATTGACCTCACCTGTTGCTATCCTCCAACTCCCACCTTATATCTACTGTGATGCAAAAAATTGTTCCATTGCATATATTGTCTGTTTCATGTTCCTGCACTCAAATACATACTTTTATTCTCTAAAATTCAAGTCTATATTACCCGAAAAAGAAGCTCTTTCTAATCCCTGCTATTGAGGTCAAGAATATTTTCTCTTTCCTCCTTGGCACATCTATCATTTTCCTGTTGAACATTTTGTCACATTATTTTTTAAATGTTTAAATATTTAAAATATTTCACATTAGTTGTTTAGATCTCTGTGTTGAAAGATTCCCTGGTGTTGCAATTTAGTCCTAATTAATATTTTCATTTCAGGAATAAAACAACAGACTTATCATCTACCCCAAGTACTGAAACAAGTTTGGTGAATCAAACTGTTTTAATGAAATGGTTTGGTGAAGCCAATTCTAAACAACTTGTTTAGAGGTAAGCAGATTCTTTCCTATGCAATTTTATTTGAGAGACTCAGTCCTTGGCCTTGCACTTGAAATAGCTCAGTGCAAGCTAGATGTAGCACAATTAATAGAAACCCAGAGACAGACATTGAGATTTAACCTGAAGGTCAGAAAAATAAAATGGCCAGTCACTGGCTCTTACCTCCATCTCATTCTGAAATGGTGATCCTGACTGCAGGAATCTCAGAATGAGACTGTGTGTGAGAGCTGTCTCCTCCCATCTTATATTCCTCCCTACTGCTGAGATTAAAGGCATGTACCACTACTGCCCAGTTTCTGTGGCAAAGTGGCCTGGCTACTGGGATTAAAGTGTGCATCAACACTTCTTGGTCTGTATGATGATCAGTGTGGCTGTTTTACTCTGACCTTCAGGCAAGCTTTGTTTATTAAAATACAAATTAAATATAACTATAAGCAGGTCTTCTGATTCCCTTATTAACCTATTACTTGCAACTGAGACTACAGGATAGTCATCAGTGTCCTGGGATCAGACAAAGGACATGCATGCCTCATTTAACTAGATCAAAGTGTGTGATGATTCATACTTTTCAAACACAGTGTGTAGACGATATTACTGTATTTGTTTTATATTATAGAATACCACCAAAAAATATCTAAGACTATAGGTGACCAATACATAGGACAAAGGTGGGATTCCAATCAAATTTGTGTGTGTCCAAGGGGCACACACTATTAATTGATACTACACATCTGCAGTTAGCCATAGCTGAAACTAGTTAGTCATAGCCCCATTTTCTTATGAAGTATATTGGGATATATAAAATGGACAACTGAATTCAAGACAGCATTTTACACAGATTAACCAGACAAAATAACTCACATAACATTCCAGATAATTCACTTTAGGTGGAGATGGTTATTAATTAGAGTCCCAAGTCATAGTCCCTCCAAGGTACTTTAACTATCTACCTACCCATTGAATTTGAAGAAGTCAGAAGCTATTATCTGCATAAACCTGTGTGTGAGCAGCACTCCCTCTACTATTGGGACACACACACACAGACACACACACACACAGACACCTTGTTCACATACCTCTCAACACATATAGTCTCAGTAAATATCCACCCAATGATATTAATCTAATTTGAATTCAAAAGTTCAAGGTACTAATGACAACTTCATCAGTTTCTTAGTTTTATAATTTTGGTGAGAAAAATGACATTGTTTTTGTTATTTTCCACATGGAAAATTATTCTTCAACTATGCCTCCTTGTGTTT